CTTGTTCGCATTCTGTATAGTTCATGTCTGAAACCACGCGCCAGCGTCACATGTTCATGAGGATTAGGCTTCATCCCATATAAACATCACAAGTAAAATTAATCATGTTTATAAAGATAAACATGGGTTTATTATAGCCCACTTACAATTTACATGTCAGAAATAAATTATTAAATGCTAAAACTGAATAAATTTAAATGAACAAACTTGGCGTTGCATTTGCAACCATGTGAAAACAGGGGGTGCTGCAGCCCCCTCAGCACCCCTACTTCCCGCATCCCTGGTATAATATGCACAAATTTAATTAAGCGTGTGTGTATATTTGTCTTTATGTGAGAGGTGACTTTAATTTAGTATAGCCTAATGTAGATGGTGCTTACAAAAGCTGTGTAAACCACTTAAAGTTAAGTAAGTTTTTATTGAGAATTAAACATACTCTACTACTCAGATGTTTATGTGTGATCTGCACATATGGATGGTTTCTCTCTGCCCCTGTATGACAAATGGAAGAATTCTCACATTGAACAAGAGGGACTCGCTCTCACTTTCCCTCTATCTCTCTTTCAGGCTGTTCTGTCATCTGTCATGAGACTAGACAGCTGTTGCTGTTTCAGAGAATGTGTCTCTGGGAAGCAAAGGAGAAAGAGGAGAGAAGAAGAACAGACATGTTTAGCCACTTTTTTGCAATAGACAGGCGTGACAGGAGAAATATCCAAGGCATCCACAGCTTTGAACGTGCACATTTATTCAATCTGTCCTGTCGTCTGGCTTTCTGCAGCTCAAATTACACAAGGGCTCAGAGGTTAGTTAGATTAGTGAAACCACTGTGCCTTTAAATCTTCCCTGCAGGACATCCAGAATGGTCAGATGCCACATTACAAGATCTTCTTGAAAGATTATGAAGTCACAGATTATGTTACATGAGGGTAAAATTACTGTCTTGTTTTACCTACTAAATTAACTTTGACTGAATATTTTTTGTAGTTTTGTTTAGTTTGAGCTAACATATATTAGACAAAATGTTTCAACATTAAAAGTTTTTTTGTTGTTGTTGCAATAACAGCAATTTGACTTATCTGAAAGACTGCTTTCAAAATTTCGTTTAAGATATTTCATCCCATTTTTTTTTTCAATTACTAATAATGCTAAACGATATCCAGTATGAGTTAAGGAGAACATGTTTTTGTGTCAGTGAATGGGTGCTTTAACCTTGGGGTTGTGGGGGGTTAAGTCAAAAAGGTTGAGTACACTGCTGTGTTTAAAACTTTCAGAGGCGTGCTTTGAAGTGTTATGAATAGAAAATGGATAACGTCATGCTTATGAAATAATTTTCTCATGGCCTTTTGTTTTCGAATGCATTGTGAGCAAGATGTCGCTTTGTTCCTTTGTGTCTGTTTATAGCAGCAAAAGTATTGCGGGAAAAGCGAAAGGAGAGATTCCCTTTTCCAAAGGTCTCTGTGTGTGTGTCGTCAACGCTTGGTGAAGTTAGTGAGGATCAGTTTGTCCCATTTGTGGCAGTGAAGCGCGAGAGCCGTGTGTTGTTTGGGCGTAGTAAACCATTACGCTGGAGAGGGGGAGGCTGGAGAGAACTCAAGCGCAAAAATCCGCTTCGGGCATTTTCGTCAGTGTTGTTCCTGAATTGTGCTGTCGTGGGTACTTCGGAACGTTGTTTGTCTCACAGGGACTGGCTTTGATGTTATTTACGTATTGTAATGATTAAGTATTTTTATGTCTCACACTAAAGTGAACTCCCTAAAGTTTGCGTTGGTTCGCACCGACGAAGTGCCAAGTGAATCGCTGAAATCTGTCCGGCTATATACTTGAGTTGAAGTTTCTCTGTACGGTGTGCGCTCAGCTGGATTCAAATGGAAAACATATCAGCGATATCACTTGATGAATATGTATTTCTGTTCTTTAACGGAATACTTCGCATCGACTTTTGAACACGCACCACGGAATAGCGAAATACTAACTTAGATTTAAAAAAAACTTCTGGACGTATTTTATGGTTTGGGGATTAACATTTATCAACTTGAAATTTGAGGCTGTAAATCCATCAGTGTTTGGCAATGGAGGAGGATCAAGTGTTTTCTCCCGAGGAGCCGCAGGCGGTCAGCGGCGCATCATCGGACAGTTTCTCCCGGCTCTGGTCGGACGTGATGGGGATGCTGGTAAGTTCGGAGTTGGGGGAGGGGTGTCACAGGAAGGCAACTGAGAAAAGTCTTTCAACCCAAGGGGCTTAATTTATTGGAGCTCATTGTGTGTGTAGTGGTTGTGCTTTGATGCCAAGCGTGTGTTAAAGCAGCCCACAGGAGCGTCAGGACAACCTCAGCTAACTTTCTGCCCGCTGTGAATAGACACTTAAAAGTTGTATGGTTGGACCTGGTGAGAGGCAGTGAGAAGTTTAGAAATCTCCAGGGAATCGTATCACATGGTATGTAACTGAAGTGTTTATTATTATTATTATAACCCGGCGCACGTGCGGCGTCAGATACGCAACGTAATTCAAACACGACACAGAAGTTTAAACGTGTTTTCCTTGTCGTTTCACTTTAAGTCTAATGACCAACTAGATGTACATTATCCCGCATATTACAAAGTTATTTTTATATAAGTAACTATTTAGACACGAAATTAGTGGTTCTGGTTACTTGTAAGTTGACTTAAATCGTTCGCAAAGTAGTCTTGCATGGCAATATTTAAAACTATCAGGCCACAAAACAAAACAAAACACAATGTTGAGCATTGCCACAATATTACTATATTGGTGTGTATATAATTAAATAAACCACGTGTTTTCTCTGTACTGGTTAGCTAAGAGATTTAACTGTAACAAATGTAACATTTCGAAGACCTGTACATTTGGGAGATTTTGGAGACTGATGCATTTTTAGTGTTTATTTTACAGGATAAAAACATTTCCTTGGCCACTATAGCATTTAGTTTGGGAAAAGATCTTAATAATATCTATTCTCTCTCAAGGCTGTCTCGGTTGTCTGTTATATGCACATTTCACCTGGTCCTATTAGTTACAATTTACAAGAGTGTTCATGTTTCCATTGAGACCAGATTAAATAGTGATGGTCACATTGTAATGTCCTCAAGGCCTAGTCATGGATTCTCTGTCCTTTTTGGTTTTAATTGGACCTTTAATTGTAACTCTTGTGTAGGAAATTGGTTAAAGTGGATATTTACATACAGATATTCCCTGAGACTTTCTCAGAACCCTAAAATGCCAGTTGTTAAGCACCCAGATGAAAGAGATAAAGGTGTGACACCCATTTCCAGTGAAAATGGCTTTGCCTCTTGATGGCTGCAGTGTTAATTAAACATCCTAAAAAGTGTGTGTGTTGTTTTTATGTCCAGGAAAGTGAGATTACCTAATGAGAAATAATTGTTTCTATTAAATCTGATGAGATAAACTGTAACACTGACACACATTAATGATTAATCTCTTTTAAGTTCCACACCCTTTCTTCCTCCCTCAGGCGTATATTATCCTGTGATGTTACTGTAAGATGATGAGTCTTTTTTTTTTCTTTCCATAGAATATGTCTCATGTATACTCCTTCTTACAAATAGCCCTGCTGTGCAAGCAGAAGTAGCACCCGAAGGTTTCTCAGCTTGGATTTACCCAACCCCCAACAACAAACTGCAGCTATTGTTTATGATCCTTGCAGCTTTAAACAAATCCTCCATCTTTTGGCTTTAAAGAGCTCTTTTTAGAGGCCTTCATCTATAGTGGTATAGTTTGGAGAATTTATATTCTGTCTTTACTTCAGTTATTTAGATTTTTTACAAAAGGAAATCTGTGCATTTGCACTGCAGTGTCTCTCTTAGTTTATACTTTTTTAGCAAACACAAGTGAATGCCTGACTGTATACAAACTAATTTTTGTTAATGACATTTTCGTAACCATGTATAGGAATCATATACAGTAGGCTGGTCATTATTGTATCGTATTGAAGGGTTTTATTTCGCAACAATGATGACTAGATGATGGTATCTTTCATTACAAGGCAACTTAATAAATAAATTAGTTTTAAATATTGATATAAATTTAAACCGATGAAACAGACCACTAAGTGCCAAGCCAGAGAGAACTAGCACAGCTGTGTTAGAAATTGGTTCCCATGGAAAATGGTCAAATATACAGTTTACATACACCACGATTGACCAATCAGAATTAAGTATTCTAGAGCGCCTTGAAATAAATATAAGAAATGTCTTGATTGCATGAAAAAATGGTTAGACATGGTTTCAGTTAAGCTGACCATTTGACGATTTGAGTCGTTTTACTTTCAACTTTTACAAGCCTTTTAGATGTGACTTGCTAGTGAATGAAATGTTGTTTTGGTGGGCACGCTGTCTATAAAAGTAAGGTTTTATTATGGCATTAAGTCGATTTTTGAAGTTGCAAGATAATTTTTGCTTTCTTAAGTGCATATATTGCTGCATTTGAGGTAGTGTTTAAGATTTACTATCTTATGCTAATGTTGATAAACAGCATTTGTAGAACTGGCGGCTACTGAGTTGCGAATTAAAGGTCTGAACTACATTCTGAGGTTAACCATTGTGCATGCCAAGCTCATAGATCTCTCTTAATGAGAATACCTCTGTCTGCCTGTCATTGAAGTGCGGTCTGTGTGAGCAAACCCCATTTATATGTGGTTCCACTCATCTAAATTCATTTCAAAGTCAATTAACAGCCCGTCACCCTCATTTCAACCGTCTCTTGGATTTGTGTTATGTTGTGGCTGTGAAGGTTTTAAGGAGAAAATGATCTGTGAAATTAGAAAACACGTGAGTACATTTTTTCAGGATTCTTTGATGAATAGAAAGATCAGCATTCATCTGAAATAAAAAGCTTTTGTAACATTATACACTATACCATTCAAAAGCTTGGAGTCATTTTTTTTTGGGGAGGAGGGGGGTTATATAAATTAATTAACACTTTTATTTAGAAAGGATCCTTTAAATTTATCATAAGTGATGATAAAGACATTTATAATGTTACAAAAGATTTATATTTCAGATAAATGTTGCTTTGAAATCACAGGAATAAATTACATTTTAAAATATATTTTAAAATATAATATTTTTAATACACAAATTTAATATTAAAATTATGAAAAAGTTGTTTGAATCAATGATTCAACGACTCACTCATAAACCTACTGGATGAATCAGCGTTTTTGAAGATTCTCTTGAATAAATTATTCATTCAATTATACATTTTTAAGTCACTTTTCACCACCTAGTGGTGAAACAATACAATCGACACAAACGTTATGTGGCAGTTACTTTCAAACGCAGATAGTTTTGACATCTTAATTGTTTGCCTTATCAAATATTTCTTAAATAGGAGCAGCTTTGTTGAAGCTTGAGCTACAGTATTTGCATGTAGCATACAGTAGCACACTATAGATTTGAGAAGCTTGTTACTACCAGATTTAAACAGTAATGATCTTAATACTAACTGTAAAGAAAGCCAGATAGACACTATGCATAAGGCAGCAGTGTTCAGTAATGATATGTTTGCTTCACCATTGGACATTAGCCAATGTGTGGGAGAGTGGCTGGTCATATCTGCAGTACTTAAGCACCTTGACAGTAACTGCTTTTGATTTTGGATGAGCCATTGCTTCCCGCCTCTGATTCCAGTTAATTTAACACATTCTCCACCCAACACGCCTCCTTCCTTATGCTTCCATCAGCCCTCTGTGGGTATCCTGAGGAAGCCACCCTAACGAGGGTGTGTCAGGACCCCCTGACCAACTTCTGTTTTACATCCTCTCTAACTCAAATACAGCTCATGTCCACTTCTCCCCTCCAGGGTGGCGCCACACATCTCACAACACCAACGTCAAGTGACTTCCTAGTGCTGGGCGGTATACCTGTTCATACCGAATACCGGTGTTTATTTTTGTTATGATATTAAAGAGTCCAGTGCTGTCCCGCGAACGCGAGGTCTGACTTTCCCGGAGAAGTGTCACCTCTCTCGGCGTCTGTTCTGTGCAGTGAGCGGCAGAGAAGCAGCGCATTCAGTTGGCCGCACCGCAGCCGACTCCTCAATAAATGAGTTGGTTACAGTTTACTTAATTTTTAATTATATTTTTATTAAATATTTATTTATTTGTGAAAAATACTTTGTCATCTAAAGTATAAGTATGTTTATTTTACAAATTTAATCCATTTTCAAATTATTTCAAATTTCTTAAATATTAATTAAAATAAATACAATTATATCGGCTTTATATCGGCCATCGGCCACACTGCTTTCCAAGATATCGGCAGCGGCATTGGCTGTCAAAAAACCAATATCGGTCGACCACTAATCATGACAGTAAAATAGGGCATTCTAAGTCAATATACTGCAGTATTTCTTCCTCTCTCAATCAGTAGAAAATATGGTTAACACCCGGTCATGCATGAAAAAAAAACACCGTCATGTACCGTGAAACCGGTATAATTTTGAAAAATACCGTGATATAAATTTTTGGTCATACCGCCCAGCACTACGACTTCCCCATCCCTACATTACTTTGAAGAGTGTGAATCATTTCCATTTGTTTGGTCTCCTTTAGTCTTTAGTACAAGGCCATTAACACATTGTGGTATTTTTGATACAGACAGGCCTCATGCTTTCTGAGTGTGTATGTTTTATTCTGTGCTTAGTAATAGTGTCAGGACACTGTTTAGGCACTGTGGGCATTAGCATTTATTATGAGAAGTGCTTGGAAATAAAAGCAGACTTGTGATGTTTTCTGTTTCTGAAAGAGGACACATTAAACTTGTTTTGTGGTTTGCTGTGTTACTCATTATTCCAGGTTCAGCAACTATAAAGGCATATTATGCAATCTCCATTTACACAGAATAACAACTGGACAACCCAAAAACGAAAGAAAAATGCTGTTCAGCCTTAATTACCTCTTTCTTTCTCTTTTTCTTTTTCTTTCTTTCTTTCTTTCTTCTGTTTTGACATTTATAATTTAGATGTTGTATTGCATAGTAAATTATTTTTGTGACAAAACGTAGACTATTGACTGCAAATGTAATATTTGTTATATTTTTCATTTAGCTGATGCATTTATTAAAAGAAACTTGAGGAATATCACAATCATTTAGATATAGATTAGTAATTGAATAATTAAAAATAAATCTATGAAAA